AACTGTACAGGGTGTCCTTGCAGTGTGTAACTGTACAGGGTACCCCTACAGTGTGTAACTTTACAGGGTACCACCACAGTGTGTAACTGTACAGGGTACCACTACAGTGTGTAACTGTACAGGGTGTCCTTGCAGTGTGTAACTGTACAGGGTACCCCTGCAGTGTGTAACTTTACAGGGTACCACTACAGTGTGTAACTGTACAGGGTACCACTACAGTGTGTAACTGTACAGGGTGTCCTTGCAGTGTGTAACTGTACAGGGTACCCCTACAGTGTGTAACTGTACAGGGTACCCCTACAGTGTGTAACGTTACAGGGTGCCCCTACAGTGTGTAACTTTACAGGGTGCCGCTGGAGTGTGTAACTTTACAGGGTACCCCTGCAGTATGTAACTTTACAGGGTACCACTACAGTGTGTAACTGTACAGGGTGTCCTTGCAGTGTGTAACTGTACAGGGTACCCCTACAGTGTGTAACTTTACAGGGTACCACTACAGTGTGTAACTGTACAGGGTACCACTACAGTGTGTAACTGTACAGGGTGTCCTTGCAGTGTGTAACTGTACAGGGTACCCCTGCAGTGTGTAACTTTACAGGGTACCACTACAGTGTGTAACTGTACAGGGTACCACTACAGTGTGTAACTGTACAGGGTGTCCTTGCAGTGTGTAACTGTACAGGGTACCCCTGCAGTGTGTAACTGTACAGGGTACCACTACAGTGTGTAACTTTACAGGGTACCACTACAGTGTGTAACTGTACAGGGTACCACTACAGTGTGTAACTGTACAGGGTACCACTACAGTGTGTAACTTTACAGGGTACCACTACAGTGTGTAACTGTACAGGGTACCACTACAGTGTGTAACTGTACAGGGTGTCCTTGCAGTGTGTAACTGTACAGGGTACCCCTACAGTGTGTAACTGTACAGGGTACCCCTACAGTGTGTAACTGTACAGGGTACCCCTACAGTGTGTAACTGTACAGGGTACCCCTACAGTGTGTAACTTTACAGGGTGCCCTACAGTGTGTAACTTTACAGGGTGCCCTACAGTGTGTAACTGTACAGGGTGCCCTACAGTGTATAACTGTACAGGGTACCACTACAGTGTGTAACTGTACAGGGTACCCCTACAGTGTGTAACTGTACAGGGTACCCCTACAGTGTGTAACTGTACAGGGTGCCCTACAGTGTGTAACTTTACAGGGTACCCCTACAGTGTGTAACTGTACAGGGTGCCCTACAGTGTGTAACTGTACAGGGTACCCCTACAGTGTGTAACTGTACAGGGTACCCCTACAGTGTGTTACTGTACAGGGTGCCCTACAGTGTGTAACTTTACAGGGTGCCCTACAGTGTGTAACTGTACAGGGTGCCCTACAGTGTATAACTGTACAGGGTACCACTACAGTGTGTAACTGTACAGGGTACCCCTACAGTGTGTAACTGTACAGGGTACCCCTACAGTGTGTAACTGTACAGGGTACCCCTACAGTGTGTAACTGTACAGGGTACCCCTACAGTGTGTAACTGTACAGGGTACCCCCACAGTGTGTAACTGTACAGGGTACCCCTACAGTGTGTAACTGTACAGGGTACCCCTACAGTGTGTAACTGTACAGGGTACCCCTACAGTGTGTAACTTTACAGGGTGCCCTACAGTGTGTAACTTTACAGGGTGCCCTACAGTGTGTAACTGTACAGGGTGCCCTACAGTGTATAACTGTACAGGGTACCACTACAGTGTGTAACTGTACAGGGTACCCCTACAGTGTGTAACTGTACAGGGTACCCCCACAGTGTGTAACTGTACAGGGTACCTCTACAGTGTGTAACTGTACAGGGTACCCCTACAGTGTGTAACTGTACAGGGTACCCCTACAGTGTGTAACTTTACAGGGTGCCCTACAGTGTGTAACTTTACAGGGTGCCCTACAGTGTGTAACTGTACAGGGTGCCCTACAGTGTATAACTGTACAGGGTACCACTACAGTGTGTAACTGTACAGGGTACCCCTACAGTGTGTAACTGTACAGGGTACCCCTACAGTGTGTAACTGTGCAGGGTGCCCTACAGTGTGTAACTTTACAGGGTGCCCTACAGTGTGTAACTTTACAGGGTGCCGCTGGAGTGTGTAACTGTACAGGGTACCCCTACAGTGTGTAACTGTACAGGGTACCCCTACAGTGTGTAACTGTACAGGGTACCCCTACAGTGTGTAACTGTGCAGGGTGCCCTACAGTGTGTAACTTTACAGGGTGTCCTTGCAGTGTGTAACTGTACAGGGTACCCCTGCAGTGTGTAACTTTACAGGGTACCACTACAGTGTGTAACTGTACAGGGTACCACTACAGTGTGTAACTGTACAGGGTGTCCTTGCAGTGTGTAACTGTACAGGGTACCCCTACAGTGTGTAACTGTACAGGGTACCCCTGCAGTATGTAACTTTACAGGGTACCCTGCAGTGTGTAACTTTACAGGGTACCACTACAGTGTGTAACTGTACAGGGTACCACTACAGTGTGTAACTGTACAGGGTGTCCTTGCAGTGTGTAACTGTACAGGGTACCCCTACAGTGTGTAACTGTACAGGGTACCCCTACAGTGTGTAACGTTACAGGGTGCCCCTACAGTGTGTAACTTTACAGGGTGCCGCTGGAGTGTGTAACTTTACAGGGTACCACTACAGTGTGTAACTTTACAGGGTACCACTACAGTGTGTAACTGTACAGGGTGTCCTTGCAGTGTGTAACTGTACAGGGTACCCCTACAGTGTGTAACTTTACAGGGTACCACCACAGTGTGTAACTGTACAGGGTACCACTACAGTGTGTAACTGTACAGGGTGTCCTTGCAGTGTGTAACTGTACAGGGTACCCCTGCAGTGTGTAACTTTACAGGGTACCACTACAGTGTGTAACTGTACAGGGTACCACTACAGTGTGTAACTGTACAGGGTGTCCTTGCAGTGTGTAACTGTACAGGGTACCCCTACAGTGTGTAACTGTACAGGGTACCCCTACAGTGTGTAACGTTACAGGGTGCCCCTACAGTGTGTAACTTTACAGGGTGCCGCTGGAGTGTGTAACTTTACAGGGTACCCCTGCAGTATGTAACTTTACAGGGTACCACTACAGTGTGTAACTGTACAGGGTGTCCTTGCAGTGTGTAACTGTACAGGGTACCCCTACAGTGTGTAACTTTACAGGGTACCACTACAGTGTGTAACTGTACAGGGTACCACTACAGTGTGTAACTGTACAGGGTGTCCTTGCAGTGTGTAACTGTACAGGGTACCCCTGCAGTGTGTAACTTTACAGGGTACCACTACAGTGTGTAACTGTACAGGGTACCACTACAGTGTGTAACTGTACAGGGTGTCCTTGCAGTGTGTAACTGTACAGGGTACCCCTGCAGTGTGTAACTGTACAGGGTACCACTACAGTGTGTAACTTTACAGGGTACCACTACAGTGTGTAACTGTACAGGGTACCACTACAGTGTGTAACTGTACAGGGTACCACTACAGTGTGTAACTTTACAGGGTACCACTACAGTGTGTAACTGTACAGGGTACCACTACAGTGTGTAACTGTACAGGGTGTCCTTGCAGTGTGTAACTGTACAGGGTACCCCTACAGTGTGTAACTGTACAGGGTACCCCTACAGTGTGTAACTGTACAGGGTACCCCTACAGTGTGTAACTGTACAGGGTACCCCTACAGTGTGTAACTTTACAGGGTGCCCTACAGTGTGTAACTTTACAGGGTGCCCTACAGTGTGTAACTGTACAGGGTGCCCTACAGTGTGTAACTGTACAGGGTCCCACTACAGTGTGTAACTGTACAGGGTACCCCTACAGTGTGTAACTGTACAGGGTACCCCTACAGTGTGTAACTGTACAGGGTGCCCTACAGTGTGTAACTTTACAGGGTACCCCTACAGTGTGTAACTGTACAGGGTGCCCTACAGTGTGTAACTGTACAGGGTACCCCTACAGTGTGTAACTGTACAGGGTACCCCTACAGTGTGTTACTGTACAGGGTGCCCTACAGTGTGTAACTTTACAGGGTGCCCTACAGTGTGTAACTGTACAGGGTGCCCTACAGTGTATAACTGTACAGGGTACCACTACAGTGTGTAACTGTACAGGGTACCCCTACAGTGTGTAACTGTACAGGGTACCCCTACAGTGTGTAACTGTACAGGGTACCCCTACAGTGTGTAACTGTACAGGGTACCCCTACAGTGTGTAACTGTACAGGGTACCCCCACAGTGTGTAACTGTACAGGGTACCCCTACAGTGTGTAACTGTACAGGGTACCCCTACAGTGTGTAACTGTACAGGGTACCCCTACAGTGTGTAACTTTACAGGGTGCCCTACAGTGTGTAACTTTACAGGGTGCCCTACAGTGTGTAACTGTACAGGGTGCCCTACAGTGTATAACTGTACAGGGTACCACTACAGTGTGTAACTGTACAGGGTACCCCTACAGTGTGTAACTGTACAGGGTACCCCTACAGTGTGTAACTGTGCAGGGTGCCCTACAGTGTGTAACTTTACAGGGTGCCCTACAGTGTGTAACTGTACAGGGTGCCCTACAGTGTATAACTGTACAGGGTACCACAACAGTGTGTAACTGTACAGGGTACCCCTACAGTGTGTAACTGTACAGGGTGCCCCTACAGTGTGTAACTGTACAGGGTACCACTACAGTGTGTAACTTTACAGGGTGCCCTACAGTGTGTAACTTTACAGGGTGCCCTACAGTGTGTAACTTTACAGGGTGCCCTACAGTGTGTAACTGTACAGGGTGCCCTACAGTGTATAACTGTACAGGGTACCACTACAGTGTGTAACTTTACAGGGTACCCCTACAGTATGTAACTTTACAGGGTACCCTGCAGTGTGTAACTGTACAGGGTACCCCTACAGTGTGTAACTCGTAGCAGGGACAGCGCAAGGCCGCAGAGGAGAGGAAGCTGGGTCTCACCGAGCACACGCAGCTGGGCGCTGGAGTAGATCTCGCCATGCTCGTTGCTGGCCACGCACTGGTACATGCCCTCGTCGCCCATGTGCACGCTGGTGATTTTCAGGCGGCCATCATCACGGCTCACCAATATCCTGCCCTGCAGAGAGACCGCACGCAAGCAGACGCTCCGCACCCGAGCTCGGCAGCGAGCGAACATGCGTCGACCCTTTCATCGTTAACGGCCTTTAAGCCTCACGATGTGGGCCCAGGCCTGCTTAGCTTCGCAGAGCCGATGAGGTCGGACGTATTCCAGGTGATTTGGTCACAGGCGATCCGTCGCGTTACTCACATTGCACTGTGAGCATGCCGTCAGGCTTCCTCGCTAGAAATTCCCGGAAGCTCTTGTGGTTTTTCGATGTCGTGGATTGTTGAATTATTTGCGTCATCTTTTCCCGACTTCGAGGGGAAATAAGCCAAACAAACCCTCGATTCCAATTAACAGAGCTCGAGCATTGATGGGGGGGGGGGGGAGACAGTTCCTGTGTCATCCCGGCAAGGCATCACACAGACGTGGCCCACACGCGTGACGGGGTGTGTCGGGGCCGCTGGTGTCGAGCAACACGTCAGGAATCGTGGGGCAGCTCCCATAGCTTCCTGAAGCCAGTGGTAAAAACTCTGTATTGTGATGGCGCAAATCACCCTGTCCCCAGAGGGACAGTACTGTTGACTACTAAGAGAGTCACACAGCGCTCACTGAATCAACTTTGGAGGGAGGTTTGGACAAATTATACTTCACGGAAACTGTTAAAAACTGAACGAGTCATGTACTCCAATTATTATAATCATGCTTCTTTTTTTCATGTTAACAATAAAACAAATCTCTTCTGCGTCAGCGATGAGAATTGTGATAAAACCATGCACAGCAGCAGCAGCACGACTGGGTCATGACAATCGTAGTTTGTCCACCCGGTGCACTGCTCTTTGTGAAAAGGTGCTCCCGAAATAATTGTAATTGACACAGGAGTTGAATATACAGCCTAAATATATACTTCATGGGAATTATCTCCACCTCAAAGTGGTTGTACAGAAGCAAAAACCACCGAGAAAATATTTCACGTTAACGTAAGCGACTGCACCTTTCACGTTTCCAAGGAGGAAAAATGGTGTGTCATGTTGTAAAATCCATTATTGCATTTGTTTTCAGTGGGGATTAGTTATTTAAGAATATTAACATTTTGCCCAACAGGCATGGTGGGGTGGGGGGGTCAGTCTTTGTTACTGCCAACCACGTAACACAATAAATAAATAAACCACCGACAGCCACTCCACGCTGTTGTCATTCACTGGGAAGCCACAAGTGATGCCACGTTAACCTGGGTGTTACTGTAAACATACTGTCGGGTCCAACTTGAATAAATGTGGAGGTATTCATTTAATCAGCTGGGCTGCATTAGAGGCCGAGCCAGAACTGAGCCGTGACTAGGAACACGGCCTCAAACGAAGCCCACAAGAGCTCTGGGCTGTGGTGTTGAGGCTCCAAGGAGAGTTCCGTTTACCTCTTCTCTAGCACGAGCTGCCCATGCCTACCTTTGACTCCAGGAGGATTCCATTCCGCAGCCACTGGTACAAGGGTGTGGGCGTCCCTGTGGCGTTGCAGCTCCAGTACAAGTCGTTGCCAATGTGAATGTTTGCGTTCACGATTCCGAGAGTCCACTGCGGGCGAGCTGCACGGAGGCAATCGAATGAAGGAATGAACGAAGGAAGGAATGCAACAAACACAGCAACTCCGGATACTTTCTATCAAAACATTTGGGAAACCGACTTTCATGAAAAGGTAAAAGTGCAGCCCCGAAATTGCTTGCTCACGCTATTGCTGGGAGAAGGGCCTCCACTTCACGGAGTTCTAGAGCCCCTACAACAACAACAGCTGCCGTTCACCGCTAAGTGGCGGTGACGTCTTCACAGCGCTTATGCTTGGTTCGGTGCACTTTGTGGTCAAGTCAAGTGCTAAAGACTCGCTGCTGGCAGGTAATGAAATAGGAAGACTGATTCCGCCGACAAGACCAACAAAGTGGAAACCGGTCACAAAGCGTGCGTTCCATTCATCGGCAAAAAGCTCCGTAGCGAAACTGCAGCCTCACCGTGCACAAGGACCTCGGTCGAGGCGCTCGTGTTCCCCAGCTTGTTGTTGGCGTTGCACCGGTACGTGCCGTTATCGGAGGTCTGCACCTCCTCGATCTCCAGCACCGGCCCGGCCTGGAGCAACAGGGCCCCCGGCCGGTGCCACGTGATGTTGGGCACGGGGCTGGGGAGCACAGAGCGGATAACGCCGTTTGTACGTACGCATATATGTTGAGCTTCTTTCGCGCCGTACATAGCCAACTGTGCTAATCGGAGGTGTGGGGGAAGGACAACACAGGAGGATTAGAGGGAGATCGGGGGCAGATTGAGGAGGAGATCGAGTGGGAGATCGAGGGGGAGATTGTGGAGGAAGTCGAGGGGGAGTTCTCTAGTTGACTGAGGATGATGCTGCCAAGTAGATGTTTTGTAATGAGGGGGATGATGCTGCTGCTGCTGTGTAATTCCAATCGAGTAATTTGCAGGTATTTTTTAGCATTTGGATGTCTGATCAATACTAGTTACATTGAATGTATTTCCTCCGATAGAAGAAAACTAGGGGACCCAGAGGATACCCATGCAGGACAGGGGGAAAACCAAATAGCCGAGTGCCCAAAACGGGCGTCAAACCCATGCACTTCTTGCTGCAAGGCACACGTGCTACCACTGCGCCACTCTGCTGTTCGAAGGTTGTGGAGATCATAGGATGTGGTGGAATGAGAAATGAGAAAAGTGGATGCAACCACAGGAGAATGGGCAGATAAAAGAGGCACGTGGAGAGAGGATCAAAGTAGTGGACTCCATTCAAGAATGGGACCTCCAGCTTAGAGAGAACATGTAGTGTTCTTGCCAACAACATCTATAAACCTAGTAGCAATTGTTTAACAAGCCTGACAAGGCTGATGAGACCCTAAAGGTCAAAAAAATAGTTTTATTGTTTCAACCAATGCTGTGGGATATTTAAACCAACCCTTAAATAATATTGGTGAGGTAGCATCGTCAATAATTCGGTGCAGGTCTTACAGCAATGCATTGTCAGTAATTTTTAAACACGTAAACACCGCTAGCCTGAGTCACGAAACGTAACACAGTGATTAATGGCATGCCAAATAGTTTACATAAAATCTATTGAGCAAGCATGACTTAAGCACTCTAGTTAAAACGGAGCTCTTTAATGAGACTTCACCTACCATAGTGTGCATATATATATAACTTCAATCATTTTTTTATATTTCCACTGTGTACAATGCATCAAAGCAAATTTTGTTTTAATATTTAATTTAATCCCGGGTCCCCATAGGTGCGCAGCAGCAGACACGCTTTTGAAGAGACAACTTGGAGGAGGTAACATCACGTGCCTCTGCCCGACACGCATCGGGGACCGGGATAATTGCCGCCACCGCCACACCGTGCAGACGCGTGGCTGGCTGCTCGTGGCGTGGCCAAGTGCACGGCTCGCCAGCCGAACGTTGCCGGCTCGTTGTTGTCGCTGTTGCTTAGACCACGGTTCATCGCCTCTAGCCTCGGGGCATCGCTACCGGCTCTGGCATGGTGACCAATAAATGTGGTTCTTATTGTTATTGTTGTTGTTATGGTCACAGAGCACAGGCCCCAAGGCTCAGAATTCCAAGTGGCCAGCAACAAACGGCACTCGTAACATTCCGGTTCCGAGTCGACTCAGCCTCTCATCCCCTCTCGGGGTTCGAGTGCGGCTCCCCCGAGTTGCGTTCAGGTCGTGCCGCACGTTGCTGGGCACGATGTTCGACGATTCGCCAACAACTGTGTCATCGTCGAGAAAGACAGAGAATGGCGGTGGGGTGGACGTCGGGCCCCACAAAAGCGAGCAGCTCAGCTCGGTTCAACAAAAAAGCTCACAGCAAGTGCAGCGAAGCGTCGGACATCGTACAACACGTGGCACGACCCCAATGCACGTTGCCAGGGAGCTGCACGGCGGTGCAACGGCGACAGCCGGCGCGGGGGAAAACGAGAACCGCTGTGCTAGAAGCACACAGTGGTCGATCGAGAGGCAGTCTGTCCACCACCACCTACGAAAGGTGGAACTTCCACCACAGGCTCAGAGCTGTCATTGGGGATGAGCAGTGCGCAACGCTTGTTTGGCGCCCTGGACAAACGATGCGGAAGAGGCTGCCATGAGCACTAATCCAAATTGATCGTTTCCATGGTGGGTGTCAGTTTATCTTTCGGCCTAAAGCTTAGTGTTTACTTTTGATCATATTGCGCAATTATTGCGCAATTTTTTTCACTCCCTCTCCTGACCTAATGTAGTTAATTCCCTCTTCTAAAGTGAAATGTATTTAAATATATTTACTATTAAGGTGCAATGCATCATTTTCACTAAAACCAGTTTCAAATTTTACTGTATTAATTTATTGTTACATTTTTTCTAGATTTGTTAAACTTTCATGTTAAAAACTATTGCTTTTTATTTCTTTTTGATGTCATCTAGGGCACCCTTGAAAAAGAGGCTGTGATGTGGCGTGCGTGTCAATGGGTTTAGGTTAAATAAAGGAAGCGAGAATGCACGGGATGACCATTTTTGAGCTTATCATTGAGAGACATTGGAGGGAAGATGTGCTGAGCCAACACCGACGAAATTCAACTTTCAACCTTCCCAACGCGAGCCAAGCACCATGATCACAGCATCGCCCTGCCAGATTAAAGATTCAAGAATCCATGGACTTCAAAAGTAAAAACATAAACTATTAAAAATCATAATCTATGCCAAGGAAAAGTATAAATAATTAATAATTATACTTTTAAATTATTTCTGAAACACTATGCTCCGTGAATGCAACATCTTTAAAGCAGTTTGCACCGTTGAGTTGTTGGGCGGCTTGGTGAAGGAAACATTCATTCATTAGTCGCGCAACTTGCCCGGCGCAGTTCAAAGTGCCATTGACTTGCCAATGCCTGCAGCTGGCGCGTAGCTCGCGCCGTGGTTACGCGCCTGGGTATGTCGCACGAGTGTGCGCACGAGCGGCTCATCATCACAACCCCACAACAAGCTCTTCAGAATTCTCTCTGATGCTGTTAGCCGGGTCTTTTGCTCGCTCGCTGACAGAGCACCTCTCCCTGGGTGTCTCTGTACTGCTGATTCCCCCCCCAACTCCGAGTCCAGGCTCAAGTCCTCCTTCCCTGCTGTTGATTTGTTACATTCTTTGCACTTCCAACTCCACCCAAGCCATCGTTCACTCTGTTCTCCCCCACGGGTATGTTGACGATGGACGTTGTTGCCTCGGTCATTACGTATTACAGCACGGTTCAGCATCTGCGAGGGTACACAGTAGTTTAGATGGCTATGCACGGTGCGTTTCGTGTGCACTCGGGTTCGCTTTCTGGCCAATGGCTAATATTTAATCGTCTGCTGTTTTTTTTTTTGCAAAAAACACGACCCTGAAGTTGACCCACGCGAGAGACACACAAATGTCTCCTCCGCGCTGACCGTGAGACGTCACAACGGGCTCTGAGGGTGACCCGGCCCAAAGCGGGAACCCCCTTGGGTAAACGAGCCACACGGCCCAGCTAGGGCGAGCCATCCGGTCCAGTTACGGCTCACCAGGCCAGGCCAGGCTGCCATGGGAATCTCTGCTGAGTCCATTTGCCGAGTTTGTGAAGCGGGCAGCTCTGATTTCAACTGTTCATGTAAATGTAGCCCAATAATCTATTCTACAACAGAGACCATGAGATCTTCACAGCACCCATCCTGTTATTGTCTATCTGAAGACACCTCGCCTCATTTGTATGTATGCCACCATGACTACAAGTGTCATTAAGTGTAATTAAGTGTAGAATAAATGGACTTCTGTTCCACCTCACCACATGAAATTCAAATAGTTTAGTCCATCAGCCTATGGGGTTTTCCACACCATAATAATCCAGCAGCATTTGTTTAAACAAGAAAACATTGACCTGTTTTGACCTTGGGGTCTCATTAACCAAACATTTTTTACAGGCGAGGGTACTCCGTCTAGAGCTGGGGTGGGGAACCTTTTTTCTGCCAAGGGCCATTTGGATATTTATAACATCATTCGCGGGTCATACAAAATTATCAACTTAAAAATTAGCCTGTTATATTTGATCAAACATTTAATTAACTCACTCTTAATGCGATGGGCTGGAACTGCTTCTCTTTGGCGAGGCGTGTGATGTTAGCTGGTATTGACGATGTTGCTACTCGCAACTGCTTTTCCAGGTTTGCTCCTAGATTTATTGAATTTCGAGTCCCGCCTGCGGTTGCCTTGGCAGGGCCACACTAAATGATTTTGCGGGCCTTATACGGCCCGCGGGCCGGACGTTCCCCACCCCTGGTCTAGAGCATGGGACATAGTCGTTGCACAGAGCAATGAGGGATAATGCAGCAGTAAATGCTACTGGTGGAGAGCTCTTTTGGTGAGACGTGGAGATCGGGGTACTCACTTGCCCATCCCAAAGCACTCTAAGCGCAGCTTTTGTCCCACCAAGACGTCCATTGTAGGCGGTGGCCGCACCTCGAGACGCACAGCCAGTCTGTTCCCCACCGCTGTATGACAATCGCATCGACAAAGCAGTTCGACATTAGCAGCACACGCAGCAGCAGCATACGCAGCAGCAGCACATGCAGCGCACGCAGCAGCGCACGCAGCAGCAGCACATGCAGCGCACGCAGCAGCAGCAGCACACACGCAGCAGCACACACGCAGCAACAGCAGCACACACACAGCAGCAGCATACGCAGCAGCAGCAGCACATGCAGCGCAACGCTGCAGCGCACGCAGCAACAGCAGCACACACGCAGCAGCACAAGCAGCAGCACACACACAGCAGCAGCGCACACGCAGCAGCAGCACATGCAGCACATGCAGCAGCAGCGCCACTGCTATTTGCCGGGTATGGTGGCACTGCAAACACCTAACGTGAAGAGCGGTCAAAATGAGAAAAGTCTCCAGGTGCAGAAAAAGCACAGAAGCCAACCAGTCTGCACCTCTGATGAGTACGGTTGGCCAAGTAAAGTGCAAAAGAAGTTCAACATACATACATGCCTACACAAACCTCAAGTTCAAGCTGCAACCAAATTAGCCAACTAGATATGGACCCGACCGATAGCCGCACCCATGTTGACTATTGCATTGTTTGTTGTGCTAATATGGTGCTCAAAGCGGAACCCTGTAACGTGGGATTGGTGGAAATCGTAATGTGACTCACAAAGTGCACCATGTGACACTTGCACACTGCCGGTCTGCGAGAAGGCCAGGAGATGGCAGTGCAAGTTGGTTTCTGATCTCTTTGTGCAGCACGTGTTTTCGTACTATTCCCCTGCACGCGCGGGTTTTCTCCAGGCACTGCTGTGGTTTCTTTTCAGACGCAAGGCACTTGTTTGAACAGGAAATAGCCACGTGGCCTGAGCCAAAAACAAATATGGATCACTGTATTGGCTATGAAACCCCATTTTTAAGGTGCATATCTTATCCACTCCCTTCCTTAGAGCAGATTTTGTACAATACTGGTTGTTATTATTCTTTCTGATGCGTCTATATACTCTATTTAATTACTTTAATCATTTATGTATTGACATAGAGTGCTTCAAGGCGAACCTCTTAATGAGAGGCAGCTAAACAAGACGAAAGGTTTATTGATGGAGCCGCGGGTAAATAGTGCCAGGCCTCACAGTTCTTCTTGAGCTGCAAGCTGATGAAGGAGCTGTTGACCGTCTTGTTGAGCACGGGGCCAATCTGGCGGTGCAGGAGGCAGCTGTAGCGGCCCACGTCGTAGTGCTTGACGTGGGAGAAGTACAGGTTCCCCGTCGTCTGGGACACGAAGCGTCGCGAGTCCAGGCGGACGGGCGCTGGCGGCGCGGAACTGTTGGTGTCCTCGTCAAAGAGCCACTCGAACTTCACCCCTGAGCGACGCAAACGGTTACAATCGTCAGCGAGCGTTCGGTTTCTCACGTCACGCTTACAACGCAACGCCATCGCAATGCTTGCCAGGCGGCACAGTCTGCAGTCGTTCTGCGGTCGAGGGCAATGGCGCGGTGTGAGTTTTTACCCAATCAAGTAATTTGTGGGTACTTTTCAAATTTGGACCGTGACGCTGGCGCACATTGCCTACTCTTTTTTGAGAAACATGACGAGGTTTACAACATATTCTTGGTTCTTTCGGTAAAGTCACGTTGAAAAGGAAACAATACAATAATAAAATATATATAAAACAATAAAATTCTCACGACGTTTCGACTGTAACACAAACAGTCATCATCAAACCTTTGATTTAAAGCTTTCGTGACTGCAGTGATTCATATTCTTGGTTCTTTCGGTAAAGTCACGTTGAAAAGGAAACAATACAATAATAAAATATATATAAAACAATACAATTCTCACGACGTTTCGACTGTAACACAGTCATAATTTCTCTGCGAGTTTCCTCGCAGAGAAAAAAAAATGTACCTGGTATTGGCCAAACAGTCCAATGCTGAAAAAGTACTTGTAAATCACTCATTTGGAATCGCACAGCAGCAACACAAACACAACTACTATAAACTAAACTTTTTTTATTTTACCATGTAAGGCCCGTCGAGTCATTTTTCAGAAGCGACCTGGCCACGAATGATATCCCAATGAAGTGGATTATCATCACGTGGACATATATAGCAGCCGAATACTCTAAATGTCGAACGAAAAAACGGAGAGAACACGCAAACTCCAAATATACAGGTGTCAGGGTTGGGATCGAACCCACGACCTCCTGTACACCAGGTGAGGTAGCTAACATCTCGCCACAACATCACCCCGACTGATACAATTTGGAAGGACCCGACTGAAAAAGTCTTAACTTAGTGAGACCTTCCTGGCTAAATAGACAATAATAAATACAACAGCAGTATTAACCAGGGTGGCCACGGGGCTCGGACTACTACTTGGCCGTGTCACCACTCACAGAGTTCCACTCCCCATTATGACTGCGGTATCGGTGTCGATGAGCAATAGTCGTGTTCAAAGGCAAATGTCTCTGAACTCATGAGAGCAATTGGAATGCAATCATCTCCGCTGGTGGTCCTGAAACGGTGGCATAAAATGCACACTCCCATGGCAGAGTTTTTTTTAATAGAAATCTAAAATGCTTTCTGGAACACATTACCTTCAAAGCTGTTTTTTTTTACTCCGCAGGCAAATCCGCGAAACCTAATATGTGCCTCCACATGTTCTGCCATGTTCCACAATTCAATGTAAATTCAGCTGAATTCTCTTTTGCATGAATTTACATGAACTGACTTGGCGTCTGCATTATACTGAGAAACTAAGCCGACCAAATCAGATTTAAAAAAACCCTTTTCATTCCGAACCGTCTAATATTTGCCGATAACAGTCCTTGTAACGTCCAATGGAAATTAACTCTGCAGGATATGTTAAAATAACTCAATAAAGAGGCTGCAAAGTTGGAGACAGGATAAATATGAGCAAAACAAAGGTTACTTAAAAAAAGTATTGCTAAACAATGTGAGATGTCTAGAAATATACACATAGTCACCAGGCAGTGGTGGCTGTGCCTGTGGCTGCCTGTCATGCAGCGCTCTGGCGATGGCAGCGAGGGTTGGTAGACCACCACACAAATGTTAGGAAACTCCCTTCCCCTGTGCGTTAAGGTGGTACCATATTCTGGCTTGTCAGGAGGTGGTACAGCAAAAATGTGGTCTCTACCTGTTCCATCTGTATGTGATAGAGTGTTTCCCCCCTCGCACACATCGGTTTTCTCCAGGTGCTCTGGTTTCCTCCCACATGCATAAACACTCATTAAATGGATGAAAACATATTTTTACATAGAAGACCGCAGAGCTTGAGCTATTGTTGGCAGCGGCTCACTGCCTGGCTGCTTTACCGCTCGTCTGTGGTTCCTCCTCGCGCCTTCGAGTTGTTCTCTACGAGTGCGAGCGAATACTTTGTGGCGGTATGTTACAAGTGGACATTATCGCGATGAGTATGTCTACCAGGACAGCTATTGCAGGTGGACCAGAATAAAAATGATGAAAGAAATAGGCAGGCAAGAGGAGGTTGGACTTCTTTGAATATCTGGATCTTGATTTAAAAAAACAAGCAGAATACCAACGTGCCTCAAAAAGAAGAACACGCGAATCAATGCCCACTACCTGCTACGACATATGGCTCAGAAACAGCGTGGTCATTATTAACACAAGAAAACAAAAACAAAAAACTGAAAAGTGCAAAACGCTGCATAGAGAGATGCTGCACGCTCGGAATTACCTTGAGGCAACGTAAGAGGCACACGTGGAGAGAGGACACACGCAGTGTAAAAGACACAATTCGAGCCGTTAATAAAAGCAAGCGGACTTGGGCAGGACGCGTCGCCGTTACAGCAGTACGAGTAGAGGCAGAGTGGCAGTCACGGGTGCTAGCACATCGGGGAGGACATCCACTGGGAAAGCGATGAAATCAGCTCTCATGTCACTGCTGGGGGTGGGTGCATCGCAGCACCACAAGGGGTGGTGATGGCTTGGGAAGGCGGTGGAATTATAATCGCTAAAGATAATTACGATTGCCATCGAACTCTGCGCTCGCCTCAGGCTTGTTATATCAAGCACAAGAAAACTGCCAGAAATGTGTCGGCAGTTCTCCACATCATGCACTTGAGGGGGAAACGTGGAATGAAATGCGGTCTCATTTAACATTTAAGAAAATAATTTACTAAACTTTTTTTAAGTTAGTCATCTTCCCGCCTCCTTACAGTATGGTCTATTATACTCACAAACCTGAGCACTGAGTCCAATGCACCAATGGGTAATCTGCATGCGAAGGGAGAAGACAGGTAACTTGGAAAGGAAGGATGGGCAATGGAGCGTTGTTAAGCGAGATGGAACGCTGATTTATTCAATGGAAGTTTGCTACATAAGTGCATAAAACCTGAACAGAGAATAAAATTAAGTTACATTAAAATGGAACTCGATGTATAAAAACTGAGCGCCATATTTTCAATGTACCTAGTCAGCACTCAAATCGCATTAAAATCCTATTTGAATAAAAAGTTGGCAAATTTAATTTACTTCATCGACGTAAAACGTGCTCTATGTGACAAGTGGGTGGCTGGATAGTGGGCACTAATAGTCGCGCTGCACTGTAACAAGCGCCTGGGTTTGATTCCCGAATTGTGTGCCTTTCTGTGTGGCGTTAGTATGTTCTCCCTTAGTTCTGCAGAGTGTGTGTGGAGTTTCGACACAGGTGATCATTAACAGCACTTGCCCCAACAATCCGTTAAGGCTTTACGAGGGGTTTCCTCCGGGTTGTCCAGTTTCCCCCACAGCTTGATAAAAACCCCCACACACAATGTCACTGATGTTGGCCAAACCACATGCCAATGGTGAAACGTTATCAACATCGCAGCATTCTGCAAAATGTGGCAAGACCTTCGTGAAATAGTCTTGAGGCCGACCCTAGGTAAACGAACGTCATAATAATAATATAGTCATAATAGTAATTGTAAAAAAAACGTAATGTGTTGAATTGTAATTGCATTGCCAATAGTTAACTAAAAATAAATTTTTTAAACCATATTTGTTTTTTATTGTGAAATGTAGGTTTAATCTTGATTTGAAGCTTTCGTGACTGCAGGAATCCATACTCTTTGGTTCTTTCGGTAAAGTCACGTAGGTAGAAAATGAATAATAGATCACTACGTTTCGATAGCACCGCGAGCAATCGTCATCGGGCGGAAGATGACGCGAGCAATCTTCATCAGGCGGAAGATGACGCGAGCAATCGTCATCAGGCGGAAGATGACGCAAGCAAAATCGTCATCAGGCGGAAGATGACGCGAGCAATCGTCATCAGGCGGAAGATGACGCAAGCAATCATCATCAGGCGGAAGATGACGCAAGCAATCGTCATCGGGCGGAAGATGACGCAAGCAATCGTAATCAGGCGGAAAATGACGCAAGCAATCGTCATCAGGCGGAAGATGACGCAAGCAATCATCATCGGGCGGATGATGACGACTGCATGCGTTGCGATTGAAACGTCGTGATCTATTATTTTTTCTACCTACGTGACTTTATCGAAAGAACCAAAGAGTATAAATGTAGATTCATGGATTAAAATAAGCAGTACATCGTTCAGTGCCTGCACATGCTCTCAGCCATAGTTGGGTCCATCAAAAACACATGATTTGACTTTCTTTCACTCCCTATTAAACAATAACAACCTGAATAATGTATATACGGTGGATGTATGTTCTTATTCAATTAACATCATGATATTTCATGTACTGCTCGCTGACGTGAAAAGGTCACGTCATGAGGTTTACTCCAGCCGACACACGCGGAGACAGTGACGATCAAGGTCGCCCCATTCTTGCCTCCAACACTACAGGAGCGGATGCTGTCAGCGAGCACCTATTAAGGACGGGCATTGGACTGGAGCAGGCGCAGAGAGCTAATGTGTGGCCAGTGGGACGGAGTTCCAGACTACATGGGCAGCAGAGGAAGATCCACCAACTCCCACCCAGCGGAACTTAACTCGATGCTGGAGAGGAGAGCACGTGAAGAGGGGGAGAGTGGAATGACAGCGGGGAGGTAGGCTTATCTATAGTAGGGAATATAATGCACGTACGCAAGTCCTCTCTTCAAGGCTTTTTGGTTGAACATCAAGGTAGGGCCATCAAAGCGGAATTGCATTTTCTGACATTAATAAGTAAAAAAAAATAATCAGAGGTTTCCCATCCAAAGGATTGTCCAAGTGTGCTCATCTCATGTTTATAATGCCAAGCGCAGAGGTGGAAAGTCCATACTCTTTGGGTAGGATTAGTCCATCCAAAGCAAAACCATCACTGACTTTCCACAAATTGACAGACATTTCATCGACTCCAGAGGGATTAAGGGCTGTATGTACGTTGAAC